GAAAAGTATAAAAACGAAGTATAAGAAGTAAAGCCATGCTGTTATGTTGAGCTGTAGGAGACTCAGGTCAACAATTTCTGACATTGCCAGTCAAGAGGAAGACCCAATACTACTATGGGCTACTGGACTCTTTTAGAATATTTTGCTGAGTTTACACATCTATAATATTCAAATGACAGAACTACACAAAAAGGGGATACAGATGAATGTCCATTTTGTATCTGTGTATTCAAAGTGGTTAGGATAGATATATAGTTATTCTCTTAATAGAGGGATTTGTTCTAATGGTGTTAGGATATCATGTCCGTATCTTGTACAGCAATTAACCACTAGGAAGAAGGTATGCAAGGTATTAATTATTGAAACTGTCCTACCAATTTCATTTGAAACTGTCTCATTGTTATTTATCAATAAAATTACGGGAAAAAAAAGACTGTGTGCAGTAAGTTACACTCTGGAATTTTGTGCTGGTATCCTACGAGGTGGTGACCTTCCGTTACTTCTGAAGGCTGGGGGTGTGGGTAGGGCTGCTGGGTTAGCTCAGTTGTCTAAAGCACCTGCTTGGGCAAAGTCAGTCGGGCAAGGGACTGTGGTTCGACCCCCAGCACCACATGCCACATCAGCCATGCCTTAAGGCAGTCTGAGTCAGCAAAAAAAAAAAAAAAAAAATTCCTGCAGGCTCAGTGCGATTTCATGTCATGTGCCTTCCGCCTCCTGGTGGGAGGTACCACCGCGGGCCGCAGTGTGCTCCCTAAAGCAAGGTGTCCTACAGCTGAGGTGCAGGGCAGCACAGGCAGGACTGAACCCAGGCACTGAGCTGGCTGTGACCGCACCCCGTGAGCCCCCCAGTCACTGAGGGACAGAGAACATTTTTCATTATGACTAATGCAAGAAGGCTGGTCAAATGGCTCAGTGGATTAAAGCACCTGCAAGCAGGCGCAGGGGCCGGCGTCTGACTCCCAGGCTTGCCGTGTCCCCCGCCACTCTGAGACAGCAGTTGAGACTGGGCGTGGTGGCGCGTGCCTGTAATCCCAGCTCTTGGGAGGCAGTAAACGGGGTCACTACAAGGCTGATCTGGTCGTGAGACCCTGAGCACCCTGTAGACCCTTCTCTAAAATACAAAGGGATACTGCACGAGGCTTCATGTGACACAGCTGGCCCCATCCTCCCGGGGTGTGCACGGAAGCAGCACAAGACGACAGAAAGCGCAGGATTTATTTCACTCGGGTGGACAGCACACGCAGTGAACGGGCTTAAAAACGCGATGCAACTGCCCCGGAGGACACAGCTTCACATGTTGATCACTCGGGAAAGTTTCTGAACTCTGTTTAGCAGCAGGTCTCCTTTCTTGATGGTTTCTTGGTACTGCCAGTTCTTGCTATCAGGTCTGTAAACACATTCAAGAAAGCACGAGTTACTTTACGCCCCACTGCTCCGTGACGGCAGCTGACCTACTTCTTTAAGAAGGCACCTGAAGTGCCCCTTTTCAGGACGGTGTAACAAACACTACGCGGAGCGAAGGTACCTGTTGGTCTCCACTATTTCATTCACTTTGTCTATTTTGCAGTGCAGTCTCCCCGCGGCGATAAACCTGGACAGCTCCCTAATTCAGAGAAAAGACAAGAGGTCAGCGGGGCCTCATCATGAAGCCAGGGAGAACGCTGCACTCAGGAGACCGTCTCCTCAGGGTGGGCTTCTGCAGCAGCCTGGGCCACTGAGCACGCGTCGGCTGAGGTGTCGCTGGCATTCTGAGGGGCACACTGACCAAACTTCAGCCAGCTCACGGTTGTTAAGAAGAAAGTGACTAGCGATTAGGAAGAAAACGCTGGCTAACACCTAGAAACAACCAGGTGTTTCACACAAGAGCCCTGCGACAGTGACCTAGAGCGGGTGGCAAGGCCTGGGCAGCTGTCCCACCCCTCCGGCAGTGCTGAGTGAGCCACAGGAGGACACAGAGCTGAGGGACGTGTGCAGTGCGAGCCCCAGGCACCCAGGACTGAGAAGCAGAGGCCCTCGAGGCAACAGGCAGGGCCTGGCAGTGCCCCAGCCCTGCCCTGGGCCAGAGGCAAGATGGTGGGCCCCAAGTTTTGCCTGTAGCTGCCAGACATCAAGACAGGGTCTGAGGGCCACGTCCACTTCCTGCAGCTGTCCCACTGCCACTAGTCACAGAGCCCCAAAGTCAGAAGGGACAGCACCCCCGCCCCCCCAGGCTACGCAGGCCCTGGTCACTGGTCAGAATTCAGACTAGCTCAATTCAGCAATGAGGCAAACCAGGGACACCAGCCTTCTCTTCTGTTCAGCGTCAGCAGGACAACAAAAATGTCTTTGAAAGGAAGAAAATGAGCGGACTTCTCAGTAGGGGTCTGGCTGCACCTGGGCCCCGTGCACCACACCGAACCTCAGCCTCCCTCACAGCAAACTCCTACGTACTCGAGGAGCGTGGGGGTGTGCTAGCTGGTGTCTGAAACTTGCTTGCTTTAAAGTGGTTAAAAAATGGACAGACAGGCAGTCAGCTAACAGGACACGAAACTTCACTGCACTGTAGAATCCTCATGTGCCTGAGGTGCCCACTGAAGTGACACGGCCTCTGTGCAGCACTCCTTTCTTCACTGCTGTGCAGCTCACAGTGCGGGGCTGTCACCTGTGGGCCTTACTGCCTGCGTGGCCCTGCTGAGAGCTACACACACATCTGCCTGTACAAGTGCCTGAGGGTAGCCACGCACAGACCCCAGTGCTGCAAGCCGGCAGGAAGGCGCCCAAGACCTACGCTGCACGGCCCCCGGGCGGCACTCGCTCTGAGGTCAGCTACCCTGCTCGCACACCTAGTCCAGGCCACCGCATCCCCTCCCCCGGGACCCACCTCACACACAGGCAGAAACCATACCACTTGTGCTCCCAACCCTCCAATGAGAACCTGAGCTCCAGATGCAAATCCAGCTGCCCACGCTCTCCACTTCCCACACACAGCCCACGCCCAGCCGTGGCCTTTGTGTCCACACTGCTCCCGTCCATGCGGCAACTATGCCCACGTTAGCTGTCCGTCCTGACCGAGGCCTCAGTGTGAGGCCCCTTTTCTGCATCAAGAGGAGTCCAGCGGCTGGCACTCTCCTGAACCGGCCCAGAGTGAGACCGCATCTTCTCATCTCTGTAGGGTCCCTCCTGCTGCAGTGACCCAAGGATGTGCCCTACTCTCCCTGGTAGCTACAGAGCACGGGCAGGAAGAAAGGAATCCACCCAGTCCTGGACAGAGGCGCGGCACCTGCCATACCAGCCAGCCTGTGCTCAAAGCCCGTGCGTGCCTAACCACCAGCTGACAGTTACAGCAGCAACCTGGACTCTGGAGAGGAAGCTGAGAGACCAGAGTGCTCAGACGGCAGCATGTGGCCAGAGAGCAGCAGGGGCCTCCTGGACCAACAGACCGGATCATTAGCGTCTCTCTAGCCTGCTTTCTGCCCAGCAAAGAGACAGTGAGGCTGAGGGAGCTAGAGCCAGAGCAGGTGGCAATGGGGATAAGTACTTAGAAAAAGTTCTTGTTTTCCCTCCCTTAAAATTCAAGTAAGCAATATGAATGGGGAAAACGTAGTCTGACCTACCTAGAAGGCAACTTCACGGCCTAAGCTAACACGGTGCTCCTTAGACTTACTGATCAATGAACTCCACGCCGACCCCGAACGCCTCCGCCATGTAGCCGAGGGTCAGGGACCTGTAGGACTCCAGCAGCTGGCTGTAGGCGTGGATCCGCATTTCCCTCACGTAGTACCGATAATGAGGAGCGAAGAGCCAGTCCTTCTTCATCTCCTGCTCCACGACGGCTGCAACAAGCGAGACGACAAGTCAGCGGACTCTTCCCGTCAGCGGTCGAAGACTACGCCGATCAGCAGATGCCAGGGCCCAGCAAGGAACGGCCCACTGCCCTGGGATGGCCATGGCTCTGGCCACGGAGCTGCGCGTCCACGGAGACAGACCCAGCTTTGCCAGGAGCCCGCCCCACACGTGCGTCCAAGCACAACCCGGACTTCCCGTGTCTCTAGGTAAACACATTCTCTTTTTATAAATTTTACCACAGAAATAGAAGGTATGCTGATAAATTAAGCCCAGAAAAACACAGGAATCACAACTGTTGAATCCTCTTACCAGAATAAAAACAGTTTTATAAAACAACTGTAAGGCTTGAACGCAGGCGGCAGCTCTGGGCTCGTGACAGCCGCGGGAGCACCTCCTACCACACGCCACGCAGGTACAACGGTGCGAACAGCGCTCCCTCCCGCGTTTTCTGTTCTTGCACCTAAGCTATCTGGAACACATCTCCATAAAGGTAGAACTTGTCGATCCAGGCATAGTGTGCACACCGGTAATCCCAACACTTCCAACACAGGCAGGCAGAGTGCCGTGAGATCGAGGTCAGCCTGAACTGCGTAGCAAAACCTGGTCTCCAAACACCAAAAAATAAATGCTACCACCCAAAGAACTGTGAAAGCACTGAGCTCAGCAAAGGACGTCAGGCTGAGAAGGCTCCACCATATGATCCCGTGATGGCGCCCAGAACAGGCACTCCACAAAAGACAGGAGGAATGGCTGCTGGGCCTGGGACGGAGAGCTGAGTGCCCAGGGACAGGTGGCCCCAGCTGGCAAGAAGGATGCTCTGAATCCACGAGGATGGCTTCACACATGGTGTACACCGTGCTCAGTTATGGTTTATACCTTCGTTTTTCAAAAAAGAGACATAAAATAAGGGCTCTGGGCACGAGAAGTATGGAGAGCGCTCTGAGGGCAGGAAGGAAAGGCTTGCTGTGACTGGGTGACAGCCAGGCAACCCACCACGTGGCGGCCGGGCAGAGACCGGCATGAGTGGGCACCGTGCTCCGGCATCCAGGGCAGTACACCAGCTGGTGGACGCAGCCTGGCCTGGGGGCCGAGGCGCTTGCCAACACCAGCCACGCCCTCACGGCATCCACTGGAGCAGGCCTGCCTCCCCGCTGCCCAGGAATGCGGCCATCTGAACCCTGCAGCGGGACAGAGCGGGCATCTTCACGAGCCCAGGAAATCGCGGGGCAGCGCCCCTCGCACGACCTGACACATGCTGATGCGATCATCTTAGCCCTGCCATCACCAGGAAGCCAAATGCCAGGAACTGGAACCAAAGAAAAATCAAATCCACGCAGGGAAGACTGTCAGACACACGCCCAAGGGATCAAGGACTGCCCAGATTTTGCGCTCTATCCAAGGCCCAAAGTCCATGATTAAGTTAATCTCAGCCAGAAGACAGACACGGCTCCCTCCCATCTTTTCCCGTAACACCTACCAGCTCCACTTGCCCACAGCTGCCTCATGCCCAGAGGCTCCAACCAAGCGGAACGCCCACAGCCAAGGACGGGCAGTGCGCGCTTTCAGGCTTTCGGCACTGCAAGCCACACAGCTGTCACACGCTCATCTTCCAGGGATCAAACTCAGGACTCTGCCCTTGCCAGGCAAGCACTCATTGCAGTGAGCTATCTCCCCGGCCCCTTTGTCTTCCATCCTCTTAAAGAACACACTAACAATACAGGCACCGCCGCCATTTGCACACTGCGCCCGCTCAGTCTCCAGCCTCGCCCTCACCGAGGAGGGTCACATGCTGTGAGGGGCCCAGTCATCAACCCCTGTGTCTTTCCGGATGTGAGCGGTCAGCTTTGGCGTCTGAACGCAGGATCGGAACATGCGGACAGAGAGCAGGAGACGCTCCTTACCCAGGGACTGGAAGAACACCGCGTAGCGGCACTCGTAGAGCGAGAACAGGTACTGCCGCACCGCGGGCAGGCTGTGCAGCACCTCCAGGATCTCCGCCCCCTTGATGACCTGCAGATTTAAGACGGAAGTCCCTCACGGAAGGCCACGCAGCGCATGAGCTCCCCGAGGAGGCAAGAGCCAAGAGCAAGGTGAAGACCCACGCGAAGAATTACGCAGGAGGGCCTAGCTAGAGACGTGTGCAGTGGCACCCTCCAGTAGACGCTGGCAAGCTCTTCAAAAACAGCCGTATTTTTACAAACAATAAAACAAATCAAACTTACACTTCGGGGCTGTGTGGCTGGCTAAGGCACCGCGCAGCCCTCTACTAGGAATCATAAAGGCCCAGGTTACCTTTTCCCGGAGATCTGGTCTCTCTAGGGCAATCATGCTGACGTAGACAGTGTACGTCACGAACGTTTTGTAGTCCATGAGCTCATAGGACGTAAATGTTGAAACAGTGTCCAGGAAGAGTTCAGCCGCCTGCTTGAAGTCGCGGATAGCCACGCAGTAAAGACCCTGATACACTTTGAGGCGGTTCCGCCTGTCCCAGTCTCCTCCTTCCTCGATTAAGCTGTCAAATAGAAAAACACACTCAGACTGGGAACAGAGAACACTAACTTGGGACAGCCACCGCAGTTATCTGACGAGACCTAACAGCTGTAAACAAAACAGGCAAATCAGGATCTCGCCGGCAGCACCCCATCTTGGGGGCAGAAGCTCCCACACTGCCAAGTACCTTTTGGCCTTCTCTGTGTTGCGCGTGATGAGGTCGTTATCCATGTAGAAGAGACCAATCCGAAGGAGATAGAACACAATATCCAGCCGGTGACCCAGGGCCACGGTTTTGTCGTAAGTCTTTCGAAAAGCTGCCAGAGCTCCCTCCTGTCAAGATTAAGCAAATAATTTTATTGTAAGTTATCAATTACTGTCATTTTAAAAATAATGGGTCAGCCTGCCACACCGGCCCCGCTCTCGGGTGCGCGGAGACTGTGACAGCCTGGGCGTGGTGGCGTGCACTTGTAATCCCAGCACTTGGGAGGCTGAAAACAGGAGAATCACTATGAGCCCGAGCTCTGTGGTGAGACCCTGTGCTAGATACAAAAAAATACTAAAGAACTAAAATAATGGGACTCTTATCTCAGTCTGTGATTCTCAGACTATAAATACATAGATATGCATTTCTAACTCAAGGCATAGTGGAATAAATGATGCTGCTTTACTACAGAACACGAATACAATCACTTCTTCACTCTTGGCCCTTTCCAGAAGCTGTCTTGGCTGGTTGGTTTGTTTGTTGTTTTTTTTGGAGACAGATCTCCCTATGTAGTCCAGGCTGGCCACAGACTCATGATCCTCCTGCCTGGGTGTCCTGCACCCCACTTGCTTCACTTTATGGATTAGTTATGCTTCAGCTCATGAGCTGAAAGGACCACCCTCCACTAAGAGAAACCAGGGGCTGTGCATGTGTGCGTTTGTGTGTGTGTGTGTGTATATGTGTGTCTGTGCTTTAATGTATTTGGTACAAGGTCTCACTACACAGATCGGGCTCGTGGTGATCTTCCTGTTTTCAGCCTCCCCAGTGCTGGGATTCCAGGAGTGCGCCGCCACCACACCCAGTCTTCGTGGCTGCCTCAGCATGTCTGGGTAAGCAGGTGCTTAGCCTGATGAGCTATCTCACTGGCCCTTGAAACTAGGGACTGTTAAGAGGTGAGTCTGTGACACTGTGTTATTTCAAAAAATAAGATCTGTAGGATGCTGTCAAAAACCCAAGCTGTCTTGAGAAAGCATCCACCAACAAGCCCGCAACATCTGCAGCATCAGTGACACAACAGTCTAGTACACTTAGCACCATTCTTTCTAAAGAGCAAATAGGAGGGGGGAACAGGATGGTTCTCTTTGAAAGAATGTTACTTAACCTCCTACCAGTCCAATCATTTAAATAACAAAATAACCAAAACTTGATCCTTTTGGGTGGGGGAGATGGCTCAGCGGAATAAGCACTTTCCTGGCAAGTGCAAGGGCCTGAGTTCAATCCCTGGTTCCACAGGGAAAAAAAAAAAAGAGATACTATTTCATTAATATTTTAACAAGAAATATAAAACCAGCAATTTTAGCCAACATATTCAATACAATAATCAAGTGGTGGACATAATACCCACCCAAGTGAGCTCAGGGTGGCCAGCTCATAAACACAATGGCTGGGCAAAGAGCCGAGAAAGCTAGCAGGCAGTTAAGAAACCTAGAAGGAACACAGGGCTAAACAGAACCAATTCACAGCTCCTTGCCGACCCGAGCATATCCTTGTTGAAAGTCAAGCCCTAAGGGCTGGGAAGATAGCTCGGCAGTCTAAGCACCTGCCTGGCAAGTGCAAGGACCCAGGTTCAATTCCACACGCTATACTGGCCCCTGAACCCTGGGCATGCTGTGCTGGCCAGTGAGACCGGGTGTGGTGGCGTATGCCTGTAATCCCAGCACTTGGAAGGCTGAAAATAGGAGGATCACTGCAAGTCCGAGCTGTGTAGTGAGACCCTGTACACCCTGTACTAAATACATAACAAAAGAAAGAAATTCAGGCCTGAATCAAAGCTGACATATGATCCCTTACTCTTCAAATCAAATCAGAGGAAAAAACTTGTTTTATATTTAAATATCAACATTTAAACACTTACTTGTGCAAACCCTAAACCTCACTGCTTTGCCTTTGTCACCATTATGTGGAGACTCAGCAGCCCTGTCTGCAGCGAGGAAACAAAGCCCTGCACACCACTCACTCAGGCTGGACAGGAAGGTCAGGTGACCTGACCCAGGGCGAATGCGACTGGAGCTTGCACACGCACACCAGAGCACCCTCCATCTAAACACTCACGGACGCACTACCAAAGCCCATCCTCTGAAATGATGATACAGCTCACTACTAGATTAAAAATGTTGAAGATTCAGGACTCCCAGCAGACAGGGGGCAGAGGCAGGATGGTCACCACGACTTTAAGGCCAGGCTAGGCAACACAAACCAAAACACCAAGACTGGCGAACACCACACAGAACAGCCTGGTAGGCTGCTCAGGGTACCAGTGGTTCCACTTCATGGCTCAACCAGCACCCTAGAAGAAGGGCACACATGCACAAGGGGACACATGCAGGCAGTCTGCAGCAGTAGCCGCAGTTAAAGCCCCACCAGCTCAGGGCCGGCGACATAGCTCTGCAGACTTCGTGCCTGCTTGGGCAAGTGCAGGGACCAGGTTCGGTCCTTGGCACCACCCCCGGGGGGGGGGGTGAGCCACGACCAGGTCCGAGAGTGGCGGTGCACACCTGTAATCCCAGCGAGCGGGGAGAGGCTGAGAACAGGTGCATCACTGCAAGTCCGAGCTACGCAGTGAGACCCTGCACAAAATGCATAAACTAAAAACTAAAGCCCCACCAGCTGAACGTGCACATTCACCAGGAGCTGGACAAATATCAAAGCCCCCCTCCCACAGAAGGCATCCTCTATATTGGAATATTAGGCAGCCGGGAACCTGAATGTGCAAGATATTCATACGCGGAAAGTCCGCTCAGATACAACTCCAGAACGCATGACATGCAGGGCGACCTGAGAACTTTCGGGTCCTAGGTCTGCCTCCAGACTTCACCACTCCTCGCTCTCTCCAGGGCGTGCGCACACGGAGGCACCACCACAGAACCAACGAGGTTACCCGCAGCGGTGCAAGCGGTGCAGAGACCAAGGCTCCTTACTCGTTTAACTTTTTAAAACGCACCACAACCAGAGCTTTCCAACAAGGAGCAGAAGCCAATTACGGAGAGCGGCCCGGCTTCCGGGGAGACGAAAGGGAGCAGGCCCGCCTCGGTCTGGCGCGGCGATCGGCGCTGCGGGCGACGGGGCCACCGAGGGGCCCACAGCTCAGGAGCGCGGTCGCCCGGGCCCTTGCGGGGCAGCGCGCTCACCTTGTCCCCGATGCGGCACAGGTACTCGGCCTTCGCCATCATGGCATCCCGAATCTCGCTCTCCCCCAGGTTCTTCTCGGCGTCTTCCAGCTCCTCGTCCAGGCGCCTCAGCTCCTCCTCGTTCGCCTTCTTCATCTTGCCGACGAGGTCCGCGTCCACCGGCCAGTCCAGGGCCTTGCACAAGGCTTCGTAGTAAGGAGCCATGTCTGAAAGCCAGAGCAGGGCGTGGG